GGATTGCTTTTGTTGTTTTTATCTAAATATATTTGGTTTTGTTTGAAAATCACAAAACTTGAAATCGCGTCGAACCAAACTTGAGTATTTTGGATGTTTTCATCCGAATATGCTCGATCCCGATTGAAAATTACAGAGCTTGAAATTACATTGATCCAAACCCGAATCGGACCATTTTTGTTGTTTTTATTTGCATATGCCTAATTTTTTAAAAAAATCACGAACCTTGATATCCCGATTTTCCAAACCCAAATTGGACCATTTTTGCTATTTTTATATGAATTGCCTAACTTTACCTAAAAATTACGAAATCCGAAATCGCATCGATCTAAACTCGAATCGAAATGTTTATATTTATTTTTTCCAATTGTATTTGAACCTTGAGTTAAAATTATGAGAACTGAAATCGTGTCGGTGTGAGGTTGAAGTAGACCATTTTTGCCTTGATTGTCGAGAATGTCAAAATTTGAGTGAAACTTGCAAGAATCGTAATCACATCGGCTCAAGCTTGAATTAGACTATTTTTTCTTCCTTTAGCTTAATGTGTTGAAACTTGTGTGAAATTGCAAAGACTAAAATTGCATCAATCTAAATTCGAATCGAGCTATTTTTTCATTTTTGATAAAAGCATATGAATATGATGAAAATCACGAGAATTGAAATTGTATCGATCTAATCGTAATTTATATCGTTTCAATTGTTGAATTTATGTTGAGCATAAGATTTAATTTGATTCAATACGAGTCTAAATACGACCAATTTCATAGTGAGGATAAGTCATTTGATCGATCGAATTCGAATCACCCGATTGATCGGAAAATAGTTAAAATAGTCATAAATTTTCCTCATATGAAAAATAAAAAATTAAGTATAAATTTTTTATGCAATGTAGTTTGTCTTAGACCATACGGGATAGGATGATTTTGATCTTTCCTATATGTATCAAACCTTTTATTCAAAATTCTAAACGGACCAATCTTTTGATTTTCTAGTGACTTGTAACACTAGGTGGCAACTCCACTTCCTTCGATTTTCCCTATTTAAATACTAAATAATCGCTTCTTGATGTAGCCTCTTGCAATAAGTATACGGGAGTTTTAGCTAGATTTCAAGAAGTCGGGAGTTAGAAGAGACTTACCATTGTGTCTTGGATGAAGTGGCTTTTGAGCTTGATTTGCTTCTCGAGAGGAGTTTGAAGATGATCAATGCTTTTTTTTTTTTTCCTTTTTTGCTATTTACATATGATTATCATCATTAAAACTTTAAATTAAAGCTCGCATTTGTTAAGTATGCTATTTCATCTACTTCCTAATTGCCTCTATGTTCTCTTGGAATTCCTAACCCATGCTTTGAATTTGTTCTCTTCTTTCGATTGGGCCCGTACCTTGTTATTATCCATCATTGTTGTTAATTCTATTGGTCTTGTAAGTTTTGATACCAATTTGTTAAGAATTCCTTAAAAAAAAGTAATGTAGGAGAAGGAGAAGACAAAGAAGAAGAGGAAGAAGAAATAGAGAGAATAATTTGTTTGTTGATTAAATAGATTATGGTAAAAATAAATGAATGAAAATTTTTCTCACTTTCCAACCGACTATTTGTTATGAACTAACTAACTCTAACTAACTTCTACTAACTAATTTACCATGTCATTAGTTAGTTACTAATAGTCAAGTTTGTTGCTCGTAAAATAAAATGATAGAATTATAATTCTTTAACAACATGATCTTGATTGAGATGTCTCTTATCATGCACACAAATTGTTCGATGAAAGTTTTCAATGAGTTTCCTTCCTTTGGCAAGTGTGTTTGGGATTAAAAAGCCTATTATTAACTATTTTGTTAGCAAAAATTGGAAAAAAAAAAAAAATGAAATCCATGTATTTGGGAACTATTCTTGATGTTATGCTAAATCAATTTTGCTTCTCCTTTCACTATCCTATCTTAATACTCTAACTCAAAGTCTTAAATATAAATCTTGCTTCTCTTATTTTCTTGACATTTGATTTCTATAATCATGTTTGTAAAAAAATAATTGTTCTTTTAAAATCCTATTCTTAAACCAATTCCTTTTATTTGACATGGAATCCTAATTCATAATAATAATAATAATAATTAAAGAGAGAAATTACATACAAGATCAGATAAGATGAAAACAATTTAATATAACGAAATTATTTTTCAGTAATTAAGAAAAAAAGTGACATAGGTGAAAAGATCCTATTTGATAAAAAAAACACCTTTGTTTGAAGATTAAATTTAAAAACACTCTATTTAAGGAATAAAAATTTAAAAACGAGTTAATTTGAAAAGAAAATTCTGACTTTTTTGGACCTCCACCAATACAAGAATTTAAAATATTATATGTATAATTGCGTATCTATATATACTCGTGTGAAATTAAAAGTAAGATTAATTCTTTGGGGGTATTGGTTATTATCTTTTTATACGTATTCTAACATTGTGTTTGAAAAAAAGAAAAGAAAAAGGAATGAAGGTATTAAGGTATGAAAACCTCCGCATGTTTGGAAATGGTGAAATTGAAAAGAACGTAAATAAGAGATAAAGTTGCTTTTGTAAGAATCAAATACTAAATGCTATGTATTGATGTATACTTAAGTGAAGATTTCTTCCAATAAAAGTATGATATATGTAAAAAAATTAACAATCTTTCAACTTTATATTTCGATTTGGAAATAACAATAAAGGTGGGCTTTTGGAGAAACAAATTTCTCCTTTAATTCTACTCTTCTCATTTTTCTCTTGCTTTTCAAATAAAGAAATTCCTACATATTTTAATATTTTCTTTTGACTCACAATCTACTCTTTTCAAAAAGATGGGTCGAATTTTTAACCATAATGGAACGATCTCATATCAATTTACTAGGATGAATTATCTATACTTATTGGTTCTGCTAACACTAAGTTTATTAATCACTTTCGAAAACCTAATTTAGGTGGTAAATAGTAGATAAACTTCTCGCTTTATTATTCATGTATTTGAAATTTAGAATAATTTATAGCAACAATTACATCAATTCCGATGCGACTAACCTAATTAAAATTAAATCATTAGAAAACTTGTCCTTGAAACCCGAAACCAAGCCTGAAAAAGTCTATCCTCCTGTTTTTTTTTAAAAAAAACTACTAATCAATATCTTCACGAGTTAAAAAGTAAATTATAAATTAATCATTTTATTTTAAAAAATAAATTATTTAATCCTTCTCATTTCAAAGAATAATTATTTAATCTCTATGTCTTGAAATCTATTAAGAATTTAGTCATTTTTGCTTCTTTTTAATTTATTTTGATTTTTTATTTTAAAAAATAAAAAAATATAAAAAAATGAAAAAATTGATGGGAATATAAGAGATTTTGTAAAATAAAAATAATATTAAATTAAATATGATTAATACTAATTAAATGATTAACTTATAATTTACTTGTTAAAAACATAAGAATTTGCTTCACTTAGCGCGAGGCTGCCACTCTCTCAGATGAGAATGGGCATGGCATCCTCTGATTGTATCGTGAATAGCACTGACGAGTCCTTACTCGGGAGTGTTCGAAAACAGCCCTCCATGTGTAATCTGAAGGCTGCTTTGGACTTCTTGTCACCACGAACCAACACATGTCTGCCGAGTTGCAGTTTTGCCAAACTACAAACGGGGCCATAAAGTCCATATTACCCTTTATTTGTTCTTTCCATATGACACTATTCCTATCCGGATTTTTCTGAAATATTCCACTTACATTTCCTTCTCAAGTGGAGACAAATTTGAAAAATCAATGAATAAAAGCAACAAAAACTAGAAGAGAGAGAGAGAGAGAGAGATTTCAAGAATCACGCGTTCAAGTCTTTGGTCCGCATCAAAGGTCTGGTAGATTCAAACGGTAGTAAGATGTTTGGACTCTGCGTACCGTCTCGCTTATGGAACTGGAATGTATTTCTTTTAAATGATTATGCTATGACAATATATGCTTAAAGTAAAGACTAATTATTTAAACAACTGTCCAGCACATAGGACTTCATAATTGATGAAGAGATTAATTGCAATATTTTCTATTATATACAACTAGTAAGGAAGCTAGGAACTTCAAAGGATGAACATATGTATATATATATTGAAATGAAAAAATATACATTAAAAGTTGTAATAAAATATTAAAATTCATGCGACAACTGATAGATTTGAATGGCAATTTCGACATTTGGGGACTGGAGTAGTGGAGTTGAGGCAGTGATTTGCGACTCTGTTATTCCTTAGTTCCGTCACTAAATTACATACACTCAAAGTTTTATTTTTCAAAAAAAGAAAATTAAATAAAAAATAAATAAAAGTTGATTTCAAAATATTTAGCTCCAAGATCCTAATCACGATCGTAGATTGATAATTATACTTAAAAAGTTTCAAATTAAATTTCATCATTCAAATTTTACAACTAATTAACGCCACAAATTCAAGAAAACCATTTTGTTTTTTTTTTTAGGAGTCACTAATAATTATGCAATATACATAAACAAATAAACAAACAAGTTTCTTATTTCCATAATAAAAGGGGTCAATAGTCAAAACAAATATAATTTATGTGTTTCCATCAAAAAATTTAACGTACTCGCTCTTAATTACTTTTTTTTCCTTAACAATTCTTGACTACAAAAGTGTTTTATCAAAGGCTGTACTTAATTGATTTGGCGTAACAGTTAACAGTTGTGCCATAAGTCAGCGTAAATTTTTATAAAAATATTGACACTCTTCACATAAGATAAATATCGAAAGGATTTTGGAGCAGCTGGCCTGTGTCTGGGCAATCCGTAAATTCGTCTCCAGACGCGAAACCGGACAAGGAGCCGGGGTATTCTTGGCATTCGACACTTTTTTATCACTCCCACTCCATCACCAAAGTCGGGACCAGAAGGAACTACCACTGTCTCTCTTTCTTTTCTTTTTTCCTTCTAAGAACTTGGCATTCAGTAAATCGTGGAATTTAATCATTTTGAGATGAGCGTGGTTAGGATTCAGGGCAGCTGCGTAGCCATCCGTACTCTCTCTCCTTCAACATCCATCAACCGATCATGTGCTCACGGTTCTGCTTCTTCAGGTTTTCTCTTCTTCCTCACTCTGACAATGTGACTTCTTCAATACAAGCAGAATCCATTTTCTTAATTGCATGCAGAAAAACAAAAACCACTCGATTCCTTGCATTGATTATTTCTCTGTTTCTATGCCTTATATGATCATCAACTGCAATATTAACTTTAATTGATTTGTTGTTTTATCGACTTCCAGAGCTCTGCGTGTTTGTTTCGCCATTAACTTTTGATGCAATGAGACACTTTTGGATTTCTCTTCTTAATTTGTCAAATAATACTGTCCTTCTTGACACTGCAATGTTTGATTTATGGTTTTTTTTTTTTTGGCTTTCAGAAATCTGTAACTAATTATATTATACTTTTAATATATATATATATATATATATATATATATATATATATATATATATATAAGCTTTAGTAATAGGATTGAGATCCGTGTTTTACGAGAACATTTTTGGCGATTTAACTTCTAAATACGAGTGGCTTCACAAAAAATTTAAGCATCAGATGATGAATCATTTGAACTTTTCATTGAATGAATTATTTATTATTTTTATTATGCCTGTTAGTGCAAATGTAATCGGTAATTACAGGAAATTTGGGATTAAAGTGCAATGAGCTTAACTTTGATGTTGCCGGATTTGGCGCAATTGAGAGTAACTATTAACTACGAGTGAGTGTCAGGGAGAAGGGGACTAAAGTATACCGGACGGGCTCACTTCCATAATTGTTCGTCCCGTTCTCTAGTGGGCCTCCAATCAGTGCCGGTCATACTTCATAGTGACGGTCGTTGATTGAACTGGTGGTCCAACTTCTCCAAAAGGTTGTTGGTATTAGGCTTAACCTACTATGTTGCCAAAACAGAGACCTTTACGTGAAACAAATGACTAACTCTATTTTTATTACGGGAAAAATGATAGTCGGTATATCAACCCCATTATGGGATTTTCACTTCTATCTTTTAAGTTTAATTTAGATTAAAAAACAAAAATGGTAAAATGGTTTTCTAGTTCTTTGTGGATGGACGGTGAACGTGGCAAGAGGGTGAAGTTTTGTCTTTATTTGCAATTTTGGGCATGGAAAAGCAAATATTGACTGAGCCAGTGCTTTGAGCTGATTGGAAGTGACCGTCTAGGCTCACTTTCCATAATTAACGCGTGGTAGACACTTCCGACCATATTGCATCGAGCGCTCACATGGATTATGGATACCATATGTTCCCCCATGTGGTCGGATTTGTGGTCCCAGATTTCCAGCTCAGCGCGTGTCTGCACTCTCTATACTTTATGTTGTCTGGTAAACGAAGACACTGCATCAGCCACTGAGACTGTCCTGTATGTATTTAGCGCGGTGCCGCTGGACGCAAATGATCGGATAATACCACTCGATTACATACGTATAATAATGGCGTAGTACACTAGCAGAACCTCCGTCTTGGGGCACTTGACCTTCATATCCAGCCGCCTTGTCGGTGGTCCCCGCTTCCTTTTCAGTGACAAAAATGGTTATGCAGCAGACTGCTCTATACCAGCACCAAAAATGTGTTTCTTTTCATGGTCTTATGCTGTGATAAGATTATGTTATGTGGGATTCATCACCACCTGAAACTTCGGGTTTTTGAACTGGGATCATTGCTTTTTCCATATCGCTGATATGGAATGCTTTAGCGTGGCTGTTAAACCAGGTGGCTAAAGATTGTCTTGCTCTGCTTGTTGGTAGCTTTTTTCCTTTTTCACCTCCTTGTTCGTTCTTGTATTTTAGCTAAAATAATGGCTGCACAGTGCTGTGCTGCTGGTCATTGGTTGCTGAAAGTGAATGTTGTACTTATAATTGAAGCAAGTATTTTGATGGTTGTATGCAGATGATGCAACTTGTGGGACACCTACTTGGATTGGTAAGGGTCTCACTTGTGTTTGCTTCAAGCGAAAGGGAGCATATGAACGGATTTGCATTAACTTGACCCCTCAACAGGCAAGTGAACTTATAACAAGAAACATTTAGTATTAAAGGGAAAAAAAAAAGATGATAATTTTTCTTGGTTTTTTCTTCTTCTAGTTTTTGCTACTATTTTCTTATCTTCTTCTAACACTAAAAATCTGGCTTCTATCAATTCTTACTGATAAGAATGCCTTCTTTGGTCGTACATTGGCCGAATACAGCTGATCTATGTGATGCTCAAGATTAGTCTGTTCTGGCAAACTTGGAAGTTCAGCTTAATAAAGCTTGTTTCTGTAATTTGATTAATCATCCCTCACTGCGATGCTTCTTGACAAACCTAGACCTAGCTAGATGTTTAAGCCTCTAGTCTCAACTAGGATTCGTCTTCACTCTGCAATTAGTAAAGCAAGATCAATTATATATGGTCACAAATGCCGGCAAATTGAAGTATAGGCACACATTGTCCTCCTTGTCAATCTTGTTTTGTATCTTCTTTTCAAGTCGTATGCTGTAAAATCTTGCAGGAAGAAAGAGTGAAAAGGTTGAAGCATAGAATGAAGGTTTATTTTGATGCTTCCAGGCCAGATCACCAGGTATGGTTTTATTTTCTTTCTTATATTGTTGGAATTCACTTAGGACGACTTAACTCCACACTTGACATGTATGGTTCATATCTTAAATCAGAAAATCTGGAATGGGATATCTCACAGAATCAATGAATAACATAGATGCTCTGGTTAAAACTAAAATGCTAAAATTGCATTCACGTTTACATTTTTATGCCAGCTTTTTCTGACCAAGTTAATGAGTAAAGTTTCACGAGAACAGGATGCTTTGAGAGCTCTATGGTCCGCCACATATCCTGATAGGGAACTAAATGGCTTAATATCTGATCAATGGAAAGAAATGGGATGGCAGGGAAGAGATCCATCTACTGATTTCAGGTTGTTTTTACCGCTTTTCATACATTCAGTGTATCTGGTGTATTTTTTTCTTTTTTAACTAATTTAGCTGCGCATTTTTCCCTGGTGAGCAGAGGAGCTGGATTCATTTCTTTGGAAAACCTATTGTTCTTTGCAAAAACGTTTTCAGTAAGATCCTTATCTGGCTGTACAGAGATGTTAGAATAAATAGGCTGAACCCTATGCTACGTCAGGTTATGTTTTGCAATAATATTATGTGTTTTTTTTTTTTTTTCCTCATTACAGACATCATTTCAACATTTGCTCAAAAAACAAGGAGGAAAACGATCTGCTTGGGAGTATCCATTTGCTGTTGCTGGTGTAAATATCACATTTATGATTATGCAGATGCTTGACCTTGATGCCAGTAAGTGTGAAATGAATACTTGCTTTTCTCCAGAATTTTGCATCAACTGCATCTTGACAAACGTCATAATTACTATTCTCATCCTTTAATCTCTGCATAAATGTTGATCTTCTATGGCCCCAAGCTCCTAGAAGATCTACAGGTACCAACACGTTTATTTTGGCCTAAATTTGTAATTTTTTGACATGTGTTTTAATTTGGCGAATTATTTATGCAGTGAAACCTAGAACATTTGTCAGATCAGTTTTCTTACAGATGCTGTCAGGTAAGAAGCAAAAGTTATATCCAGTAAAATATTAAAGGTCATACAATCATGTTCTAGACAGCCCTATGCAGCTCCGGTATATTAGGAAGGTCAAGAGTAGGTATCTTTGTGTAAAGGACAGCCAACCTCATGAGGGTGTAGTGGCTGAATATAGAGTTGGCTACTCTGATTTGCCATTAACCTAGAACATTTGAATTCACTTGTTTCTATGGTCGCCTAATGACTAACATATGGGTTTTCAGAAAATGAATGGGCATTTGACCTGCTCTATTGTGTGGCTTTTGCGGTCATGGACAACCAATGGCTAGAGAGAAATGCTACATACATGGAATTCAATGTGAGAACCTATTTATTCTCCTTCATTCCTTTAGTTTTCATACACAGAGACAGCTTAGTTCTGTAGATCGGTAAATCAATACTACATGGTCTCTTCAACCCAAATTTCATAAATCCCTCGAAACAATTTTCTTGTACATTTAAAGACGATCGTAGACCTTATGCTTCATAATTTTTCTCCCTATTTCACTTTCAATTTCATTTATGCCGCATGATAGCGGTAAGGTTACTGATCAAATAACGTATGTATTAGGATGTCTTGAAGTCTACTCGAGCTCAGGTGGAAAGAGAACTTCTAATGGATGATGTCTTACGGATTGAAGACATGCCTTCTTATAGCCTTCTCATTTAGCAATAACCTACTAAAGTTTCAGGCCAGGCTGGTTCAGACCACTGATGTATTTATTTAACATTGAAGTTGTAAAGTCCCTTTCCCTTGCCTTTCTTTCACTTCATCTCCTCTCTTGCTACTTTAATTTACGATCCTGTTGTTTAGATACATATCAAGATCCAATGGGTATACTGTTACTCCAGCTACAACATTCTGTTTTAAGGTTGCATGAAGAGGGTGAAGATGGAAAGAGCTTGTGACACCAATGCGTAATTTTGTATGTTACTTTACTTTTAATTCCCATTTATGAAAAGTTCAAAGGGAAGAAACTATTTACAGAAGCTAAGATGTAAATGAAACTTTGAATATTGTTCTCTCTTTTTACTTGTGAGATGTGCACGCATTACAAAATAGAATTAGTAGTCCATATTGACTCTTTTGCAGGTGGGAAGTTCTTTCCCGTGATAAGATTATTGATGGGAAAGGCTGCTGTATATCTTAAAACAAGGCAAAGAGAAGCACAGAACATAGAAAACAAACAACTTACAAGAAGAATAATAGGATGGGAAGAAATCTGAAAGCATGACTTTGAATACCATCTTTGACAATTACTTTTCCAGGAAGAGAACAGAAAGGAAATCAAGTTGAGAGTCTCAGGAAGAGATTCATAGACAGTCTGGGAGAGAGAGAGAGAGAGACCAGAGATCTACCTTATTCCTGTATGGTTGGCTCTCCGAAATCATCATGGAAGACAAGCAATCAAATAAATGCTCCACAACTGGAAGTTCCGTGAGCAATAACACGTAGAGAATAAGAATACAAGCTATACTGTAAAATCACATGCACCACCCTGACTATAAGAATTCTTCTTTTATACAGTAGAGAGAATTCTTGTTGAAATAATGATCCGTAAATTCATTTCGTCCAGGGGAGTAGTGTCAAACATACCATCATAATTCATCAGATATATTTTATTTTGGCCTCTTATATCCCTTGAACTCTCCAAATCTTATCGAAAGAAAGTTCATCCTATTCTTATCGAAACCCATGATATTCTCTGTACCAAGCACAAAACATATGCCTTAAAAGTAGTATATTATTCACATATACCTGCATATAAAAGCTTGCAATATCAGTTACAGTTTTAAACAGGGTGCTGAATAGCAGATACTGAAACAACAAACTACATATCTTAGAGGAGAAATATTTACATAACCAAAAAGAGGGGACCTGTTCCTCCTTCCTTGTAGGCATCTGGAACGCTGGAGTAACAGTAGAGGTTGTTCGACATTTCCCAGCTCCAGTCCTGTTTTCTGAACACGGTGAGAGGAAGCCACCGGTTTATCCGTACGTAGTGTTCCCTGATCTTTCCTTCACCAATAATACTAGTCACAATGGAATAACAGCATTCATGACCACCCCAGACCTTGTCACCAGGATCTGCAGTTTGGCTCCCATCTGGATGAAAGTAGCGGTGCATCGGAGGGCCATTGCCTCTCCAGTAGGGATCAAGATTGCGCCAGTATTCTGGAGCCGCCTGAGGGCACACTGATACTTGTCAAACTAAATGAGCTTCACAAGAAAAGAATGGTAACGAAGCTCGAGCAAGATATGAACTAAACTTGTGAAAAAAAGTCCCCAGGGTTGTCGAAAAAAAAAAAAAAACAGAAACAAAATAACAAAAAAGTTGAAGATTGTCCAAACTGATAATTATTTGCTTAGATGCCATTCAAAACATAAGATGCAGAAATTAATTATTGGAATCATTGGAAAATCCACCAAGGAAATGGGCTTTGATTTACCAAGAGCTTTCGCTGAGTAGGAAAATGGAGGAAAGCAGGTTATGAAATAAACATGTGGACTGAAACATGACCTTCTGTTAGAATTGGAATAAAATTTATCACATAGGCTGGTTTTTTGCATGCAAGTATTTGTAATCAAACAATGAAAAAAAAAAAAATTAAAAAGAGCTTTGGCTTTGTAAAATATTAAACACTTCCATAACACTTTTTGCGGCTAGCAACCTTCACATTGTAGAATCATCACTGCACTGCAGTATGAACAATTAGGAACCATATTGATGGCAAACAATTCACAACCTGACCCAGGTTTGACTGGAAAAGTATGAGACTGCAATCTATATAGAAGAAGCATACCTTGGTAAAATGAAACTCCCAAACATGATCACACAGATCATCCTTCACGATACGATTCTGACATAAATGACAAACAAAATAATCACTTTGGATGGGGCTCGCCAATCACATTCGCATGTAAAACATGTATGCACAGGTTTCAGCATGAATGAGGACTGCATGAATAGGAAAAGGAGAGAGCATGAGGAATAGGGATACAGGTACTCTATACTCACACGTTTTCCATCCATGACAGATAGTGAATAAGCATCCAGCTTAGAAATTCCCCGGACAAGAGACAAGCGCGGTATGTGTGCCTTCCCATTCCACAATTCCTCACACTAAAACAGGCAAATAGAAGTCAAATTTCATAACAGACAATTAAATTATTCTAAATAAATACTACAGCAGTTGTTCATCATGAACACAGAAAGTAACATGGACCATAGAACAAGAATGGAAGCTTCAAGATTGCACAACAAAATTATTTGCTTGGAAAGGAAAGGGCAATCATAACATTCAGCTCGCAGGATTGGTAAAAAGAACCATAACCATCAAAATTTCATTGGACATGGTAGCATTCTCAAACCTTCAACAAGGTACTCACCTCCAGGTCTCCTTCCACCGTCTATGACTCCGTTCCATATATAATATTCATGTCATCTTACCTTAACTTTACATTCTCCCTATCATCCACTCCTGCTCTAAGATGTCCTTTACATATTCTATTTTTGGCTCCTCATAGTTAGGTGCCTTTATGAGCAGCATTCTTGTTGCTTGTCCACAAAATAGAGAGAAAAGATTGTAATTCTTATTAAAAAATAACTTGAATTCTTTTAATACCCATCTCAAGCAAGATACATTCATAGCACATGCCTAGCCCCACGAAGACAAGTTCACAAAGCCAAAGAGACTTCTTAGTTCCAACGCTCAAAGGCTGAAAATAGCTACTCTGCTTGATTTTTCCAACATCTGTTCCACATTAGGTGCGATAAATACGTATTCATGTACTTTTGCTAATTATTTAATTATGGATAATAATTGCATAACAACCAATTCTATTAACCTTGAACAGACAACTAACTCCTGATCCTCTTCTTTTTCCACAGAATGAATACGTCAAAAACTCAACAACACATTGATCTTTTGTTCATTAGCATAAATCATTGACGAAAAGATCAAAAGCAAGCAAACCCTCAAACAGTAATTAATTAATGACCTAGCTAAAAGACCTACATCCCTCAATTAGATAAATGCTAATCAAACTCCTCATCCGGTATCATAACAATTATCAAACACTCAATTAAGAAAAAAGAAAAAGAAAAAAAATCTCACCTTGGAGGTCCAGAGAAGATCACTAGAGGCAACAAGGTTCCAGGTACGAGAGACGACGAGACATAGTGCCACGCTGCGTGCGTCAAGGTTGTTCAAAACCTTCAACATCAAGTCCCTACCAAGCACATCCAAAGGGTCTTGACAAAGGGGACGACCTCCTTCCTCTCTCACCTTCCTTCTTTTCCTTTTCCTTTTCCTTTTCCTTCCTTTCCTCTCCACTACTAAAGCTAATCCCTCTTCCATATCCTTACTTCGGTTCTCCTGTAATTCTTGCTCGTTAGCCTGTGCCATTGAAGAGGAGTGAGGGAGAGAAGTGTAGAAAGAAGAAGAAGAAGAAGAAATGCGAATCATGTTTGTCTTTGCGTTTTTTTAACGTCTTTTTTAGCCTTTTCATTACTTTGGTTGTCGTTTTGTGGGATTGGGATTTTGTCCGAATACAGTGTAACTAGAGCAGAGGGAGATCATCTTTGGAAGTCTTACGTGTACGAATTTACTTAAAGTTGTGAACTGCCACTTATGCAGTTGCTGCCACGTCATATTCCTCTGCTGCCTCCATTTCCATCCTTTGAGTCAGCAAACTGTGATATATTCTCTTTATCCAAATCAAAATGATAAATGATGTGGATGACACTCAAATTTAATGTATGATTTAAATATAAATCCTTTTAAAAACAAAATTTAACTGTTTTCACTCTTTCTTTCTAGAGACGTTTTCTTATTTCTTATTTTTTTAAATTTATATCGATGCTAAAATATTTATATAGTTGAAACTTTAAATAATATATTTAAAAAATAAAAAAATAATTTTTTTCTTTTATTTATGTTTTTCGCTAACAAATAATTAATATTATTTATATTTTTCTTTATAAATATGTATACTTTTAACATAATTTTTTATTACATGAAAAATATTTTTTTATAGAAACTTTATTGTATATTAAAATTTTAGGAGCAAAATATTTTTATTAGTATGTTAGTTTTTTATAATTATTTTAAATTTAATTGTTAATTAACTTAATGAATTCGTTTGTGATTTACCATTTTAATTTTAAATAGATTATCTTTCTAAATTAATATTAATTTTATATCATGCATGATTAAATTTAATAAATAATAATTTTTTAAAAAATTTTAAAAAATATAAATAAAAATTATTAATATGACCTAAATAATTAATAATATTTTCAAACTGTATAAAAAATTAAAGAACATAATCTTTTTATGACATAGAGAGTATGCTATAAGGCAACAATCTTTATTTTAAGAGTTGACCCAACCCATTAGTTAAGAACATTTACTTTTTTCTCTACTTCTTTAGTGCAAATGAAATTTTAATTGATTTAAAAACCAATTAAATATGAAGTTGAATATATGTTATCAGATAAGCTGATATTCTTTAATTTCACAAATTGGTTTAGTCTTTAAGAAGATTTAATTTAATTTTTTTTAATTTATACTAGATTTATGTATAGTACTGCATCCTAAAACCATATCATATGAAAACAGATTAAAAATTTATTTAAAAATACCTTTCTATTACGAAATTGTACATATAAAAAAAAGATAGTCGAGGCGTGAACTATATGTTATATTCCAGTCCTTTTGATTATTATATTGAGCTTTGACCCTTTTTTCCTTTGATTTTGGTTAGTTTGACTGACCATTGGTTAATCGGCAGTCAAAGATGTAGAATCTATTAAATTCTTTATTCTGCTAGATTCAAAAGCGGGCATCGACCCAGCCCATTACAATAAAGACCAAACCACAAACAGCTAAAAGGACGGCACGAAGGCAACTATCTAGACTAGACACAAAACGAGAGGTGAGAAGGCAAGAATAGACTAGACACAAAACCAAAGGTCCAGAACTCTAAAAAACATATTACAAATCTCATTATCATCAGTATCACTGTCATCAGGCGAATGCAAGCATCACTTCTATGCAACACTTAAAGAAGGCAACTGTCCAGTCCCAATCTGGAGAGTTGTCTTTGATCAGAGGCACTTGCTTGAAATTTTTAATCCACGCATGCAGGCCAGGAAACTTATGGGCTTCAAATATTACTCTTACCCCTGCCGCTTCTTCAATGACTTCCAACCAGTATATAAGGCTATGTCTGCTATCCCTATATTATCTTCTCCCCTAACCCGTGTTCTTCCACGGTTTACAACATTTCTTCTGTTTCCTTCATTGTCTTCTCAAGTTCTTCACCTTTAGCATGGCACATGTAAAAATGCCTTGTATACTTTTTGTATTGAAGCATATTTGTGTACATATCAAAATATACATAGTAAAGCTAGTTAGAGTTGGTATATCACTCTAACTCTATTTCAAATAGAAGATAGAACCTTAATGATCTAAGGTTGTGTTTGAATTTGATTTTCAAATAGTAGTATCCTTATGATTCTCCTTAAGTTGATAGTGGGTGGAACTATTGTCCGCTTGTTTATGAAAAAATGAAATTTATGCTAAAATGTTAGTTTTGTTAAGATGTATGCAATCCGATCATTTGTTGATATATTTAGGACACTTGAAGTTCTTTGTCAACCACCTTATCATACACAAAGTGAAAATCGATTTCCAAATCCTTGCTCCGAGAATGGAAGATAGGATTTAAAGTAAGATATGTGACGCCGATGTTGTCACGCTAGAGGGCTAGGGCTTTGGCAAGGTGAATCCTAACTCGGAATGAGAGAGCAAACTCATAGGACCTCAAATGCAGTCGTGGCTAAAGCTCTATATTCGACTTCGGTAGATGACCTTGCTATGATTCGTTGTATTTTAGAGCACCATGAAACCATATTGGAGCTAACATAATTTGCAAAACCTATAATGGATTTTCTATCATTAAGATAACCTCCTCAACCAGGCGTCACTATAAGCGGAAATATGGCATGAAGGATTTTAGTGAAGTGAGAGAACCAAACCCGATGCATGTTGTAGATATTTTAGAATTCTCTTGACTACTTTCCAATGATCTTTTTTGGATTATCCATGTATTGAGAAACACGATTAACTCTAAAAGAGATGTTTGTTCTTATGATACACGAGTATTGAAGAGCACCTACGAGTGCTTGCATGCAGTGAGGATTCAAGAATTTTGAACCCACCGATTACAAATTAGTGGCTGAACAGTACATTGTGGAAAGCTGGATTGGATTGTGCCATTCGTTTTCGAGCAAATAAGTGACGCACATATTTTGTTGAGAGAGAAACATTCCCGAAGATGTATAAGACACCTCGATGCCTAAAAAATAATGAAGAGGCCCTAGATCCTTTAAGGCAAAGCCGTGTTGAAGCCTACTAATGAATGTAGTTACATGGCCGAGTCATTATCGGTCGGGATAAGATCATCAACATATATTAGACAGTATATTTTGATAGATTTAACAAGTATAGATATACAAGGAGCAATTCATTTTGGATTCTTTAAATCCAATAGAAGTCGGAATATCCGTAAGGTACATAAACCATAGTCGAAGAGCTCGTTTTAAACTATATAATGATTTACGAAGTTTGCAAACATATCCCGGTTTTGAAATATCTTAAAAACCTAGTGGTTACTCCATGAAGATGTTTTTATCTAATATGCCATATAAGAAGGCATTAGACATATTCAATCGCCTTACACACCATCCAAAGGAGATTGCTTAGGGATAAGACCAAACGAATTGAAGTTGGTTTGATGACGGGGTTGAAGGTTTCAACATATTCCATACCAAGTTGTTGGTGAAATCCCTTGATAACTAGGTGAGTTTTATGTTAATCAATGCTTCCATCTATCTTCTCTTTTACACGTAACACCAATTTATAATCGATTATATTCATGGTTTGTTATTGAGGGACAAGCTCTTGAGTGCCATTATGAATCAAGGCATTGAATTCTTCTTGCATAGCATTATAATGCTAAGATTTATCTTTAATGGCTTGTATGTGACAAGTTAGGATAATATGGGCAATGAGATTTAAGAGATATTTAGGTTTTAGCTTTCCAGGTAGCTATCCTTATGGTCATGAAATGGGTTTTTATGGTAGGAGGATTGGTGGTTATGAGGGTCATTTGGTGTATGAAGTTTTTGTTTGTAAGAGGGAGAGACGATTGACAAGAGATAGGAGCTAGGATTTGGTTAAAATTTAGAAAGAGAGTGGTTTTGGTGAGATATTTGGGTTGTGTTTGTAAGGATGAACCAAAGCATATGGTTAGGCGTGGAATGTGAAGATGATTGTAGTGGAATTAGGGATATTGGGGATTTATAGTGGATCGGGTTTGGTTTAGACTAGGTTAATGGGTTTGATTGGGCTAATTTATTGGATTGGGGATGGACAAAGACCGTGGGATAATGTTGTGTGATGGGCTAGTTTTGTAATATAGGGTAAATTGTTATTAGGGAAAGAACGGACTATGTAGAGATTGAAGGGTGTGGGTTTGGATTGCTATTTGGGAAGGATCTGGAGGGCTGAAAAAATTGGTTTGGGTTGGATCTGGATCGCTAGGAGTTATAGCATGAACTGGCTATAGGTGAGGTAAAATCGCGAGGAATTGAAAAATGAGAGGGACTCGGTTGTATTGGCAATTACGTGTAAAGGAGATACAAATAAGATGGTAGGTGTGTTGAGAAAGGTTATAGTGAAATTTGGACTTAGTGTAGACTCCGAATTAACTTCGTAAAAAGAAACGTCCGTTAAACTATAACCTAAGAAAACATAAGACTTGGAGCCAAAAGCCAATTTATGTAAAGCATGAGGCGTAACCACGAGTAACATTGACAACCAAAAACTTTTAAAAAATTATAATCGGGTGATTGTTTTAGTAAGCTTTCAAAAGGACTTTTATTGTTGAGTAGAGTTGTTGAAATTCTATTTATTATGTAGGTCGTTATCTCAAAGGCTTGAAGCCAATAGGATAATAGAATAGAAGAATGATGTAGTAAGGTAAAACTAGTTTTGATGATATGTCAATGTTTGCATTTGACACATCCATTTTATTCGGGTGTGTAAGGACAAGAACTACATTGAGTGATGCCATTATCTCATAAATAAGAGGTTAAGGCTTGGTATTCACTACCTCAATTAGCTCGAAAGGATTTGATCGAACGATTAAAAGATTTTTTTGACAAGATGAAATTTGATAAAAAAAACTTAAAACTTCATATTTGAATTTGAGAAAAAAATACTCGGATATATTTACTAAAGTGATAAAAAAAGCCATAATAACAGTTCCTTCGAAGAATAAATAAGGGAGGGCCCCTATAAGTCATAACAAATTAAGTCTAATGGGCATTCAGCTTGAAAACTAGAATTATAAAATTGTAATTTCTTGGCCTTGTTAGTACAACAAGCATCACAAAGTTTAGAAGACATATTATTGGAAAATAAAACAAAAGAATTGGCTAATACATGCCTAACAATTGTAATAGAAGCATGACCAAGCCTAGCATGCCAAGTGGAAATAGATACTAGGATGG